AAAAAGAGAAGCCACAACTCTTCATGCTGCTGCGGCCTTTGAACATGGCAACACATGAGTTCACGGCAGTAGAACGGAGACTTGGGGTGGTGCTCTCTGGAGTGCCAAGCCCCTCTAACTCTCTGGGGGTGGGGGGAACTTGCTTTTCAGACCTGGAGTGGTTGGACAAGCTGTTCACTGAAGGTAGTATCATAGCTGCCTTCCTGCTTCTCACTGTTCCCCTCGGCCGTGCTCCCAGGCCATGCGGGCCTGTTCCTCCTTGGTGCTCCCAGGAGGCAATGAGGCCTTGCGGTGTAGGCCTCTTGGCCTCTCCGCCTCTTCACGCAGCAGCACACCCTCGTCGTGCTCCAGGGCTGGCAGCCTGGGATGGTAGGGCTTGGGTGGCAGTGCGGGTGGGTCCATGGGGTCCTGAGGGATGACACACCCAGGGGCTGAGTGACTCCGGCATGGCTGGGCCTTGAGGGAGTCCAGGACAGCGGACTCAGAGAGGCTGTAGTGGACAGGGAGGTAGGGCGGCTCAAGGTCTTCATCGCCATTCCAGGCCTGGCTTGGCATGGAGTCCATAGTGTCGGTTCGAGGTGGGGCTTCTGAGGAGTGCCCAAAGTTACTTTCACTCAAGGAGGACACACCACTGCTGGCACTGCCAGACAGTGTAGAGTTGCTGCCATCCAGACCTGATTGAGGGCTGGTAGGGGAGGCTGGGATGGGATGGAGAGGAGACTGTGCGAAGGAAAGGGTGGGCATGTTAGAATCCCTTGCTCTAGATGGCTAACTGGCCTACCATGTGGAGACCAAAGAGTCTGCTTATTAATGAACTTTTGACTCTCCTCAACTAGGAGTTTCTTGTTCAGCAGCAACCCTCTCCCAACCCTTCCAGTGGTACCCCAGAATCACTATATTTCTGAAGGCCTAGAAATGGCCCTACTCTGGCTGCTGGGCATTGGTGTTCCCCTTCCCTGGGTCCCAGGCTGCTGTCTGTGGTCTGGGTTACTAACAAAAGGCTTGGTTATCAGACTACTTGAGGGAGGACAGAAAGAACGTTGGTGGGCCATGGACCAGATGAATTTATTCTGCTAAAATCTGTGATAACAGATTTAACTAACAGTAGGATTTAAGTTTTACTTTTGGGGGTTTTTTAATAAAGCTTTGGTGCCTGATGCCTCTTACTTTCACAGGTCACTAATTTAAGAAGCTCTATGCCCTACCAGAGGGATATTTATTTAGCTATTGTTCTATTGATATTGGCAGAGAGCACTTGTCTTTTAGTGCTCATTGCCCATACACTCTTGGTATCATGTGGTCTCCAAAGCCCTCTGATCTCCCTGTTCTCATTGCATTGGTTGCAGGATGTACTGGTTACCTGCAGCTCAAGTTGGCTCTGGCTACCCCCAGCTTCTGCCAGTCTGAGCTCTCAGAGACAGTGAAGTAGAGGAGACCTCAGGTTCCTCTCATAGACCCAAAGATGATTCTATAGCAGATGAAATGGTGGGACTGTTGCTTCAATACATTACCTTGCGCAGGGTCCGGGCAGGGAGGGCCGGGGGAGTATCACCCAAAGGGTGATGGAAGGCGTCAAAATGTAAGGAGTAATGACCTGCGAAGGGAACAGAACCAAAACCTCATCAGGGGCCCCTGCTCAGGTTGCACACCAGCACCATCTTGCTGGGCCAACTGGACAGGTGTGGAAAGAGTTCCCTGGGGACCCCTCAGTATTGAGGGTGATGGGAAAACTTCTTTACATTGACGTTCTCCAAAACAGGCTGCTGGGATAAAAGAAACCTATTCACACAGGAGGCCAGGAAAGTCGAGTGCTTCAGAGCTCATAGAACAATAGGCTGCAGGCTGTAAGAGCTCTAGCCTACTGCTAGGTGATGACAGGCTGGTGAGTGGAGCACCTGGCAGAGTTGATTCCGTTGTCTTCAGCTTCCCTCATTGGCCTTTCTGAGCTAACCTGCTGGACTCCAAAACCTCAGTGACCCCAGTGCCCAGAAGAATCCTTCCTGTGGAATGCATGTTTTTTTCTTTGGTTGTGTTGACCCAGAGGATGGCCTATCTTCTCAGCCTGGACAGGTGTTGATCTGGTCTTGGAGCAGAGTCTGAGACCAGGATTACTTGGGGGACCCGCTGGAAGTCTTCTTACCATGCAGCAGGCTTCGGGGAGGCACTGGGGGGGCCAGGATGTGCCCCATGTGGGCAGACAGGAAGGGCTGGGCCTCCCGGACTCCACTATCCAGGCTCCAGCTGCTGGGGGCTGCTGGCACCGCTGAAGGGTGGAAAGAGATGGTGTGAATGGAAGTTACTCCTTCAGCTACCCTCTTGGAGAAGCCCATCCTATAAGCCTGTGGATTCTCTGGGTGTGCACTGTGTATCCAAAACACATGGGAGTGGCATGCC